GCTCGATGTGCCGAGGTGAAGTAGAGCTGGACGAAATGGTATGAAAACTGGATCGAAATGCGAAAAAGAGAATCAACGAGTACACTCGCAGAGACATAGAGATATCGGATTTTCTCGTTATAATTCGGAAACGTGTAGGTTCTTTGAAATTTGAGTGGATTTTAACGCATGCGTGCATTGAATGGACTGCGAATTGGGGTAGCCAACGAGAAAGAGAAAAAGAAAAAGAAAAAGAAAAAGAAAAAGAAAAAGAAAAAGTAAATACACGAGTACGCGCGGTGTGTGACATGCCTACGAGGAGAGCGATAGCATGAACGAGAGTGAGAGCGAGAGAGCGAAAGAGAGGGAGAGAGAGATTTTTATATATAAATGTATGTTTAATGTGTATGTGTATATATAGATGTATGCGTGTGTCTATATATACACGAGTATATGTGTGTGTAGCAGTACGTATACCTGTACACGTGTATGCGTAGACACGCATACGCAAACGAGTGCTAACAGGAAGACAATACGAGAAAACGAACAAGAATATAGTCTCAGTTGATAATGACGCGCGACACTGAGGTGGTAATACAAAAGATTTTTTTGAATTTTTGTTTGGCAGAAACGGCCTGCGCCCGTCGCGCTTCTACGTCACTAAGGATAACATGATGGTGATGGCGTCCGAAGTGGGCGTCTATGATACTCCGCCCAGCAATGTAATCCTGAAGGTAAACGAGGAAGTAGACACATCACCACCGATCAGGCCTACCTTCCGGAAAAATTGTTTAGTCGAATTGACTTTTAGCGGACGATTGCATCTAAGCGCTCCAATGTGCTCTCCTTCTCTATTCTATGCGACATACGACATTTCAGCTCTAGGAGGAAGACTGTGTGTGCAAGGAGAAAACCTTTCTTAACTTCTGGATCGAATTTGGGTCGATTCGAGAACGCATTATCAAAGGCAGCGGGCTCGTTTCTTTTAGTTAGCCAATACCGGAACATACCGATAATCTTACTTATTTACTCCTCCAAACGTGTCGTTTATTCGCCTATTATTCTTATCCTATTCTTTGGACCTTTCGTCCTGTCGCAGCCCCCTTTGCTCTTCCTTCCTCGCCACGTCTCGTCCCTATTTCTCTCCTATCCAGTCTCCCCGAGAAACTGCGCTCGTGGCCAATTCGCGATCAGCTCTGCGGGTGACACGATGTACAACGATACACGTCCGACGCGAATCGGTCTCGGGCATTCCTCGACACGTTTTACCCGCCTATCTGTCAACTGAAAATTACAGGAAAGATACATCTCGTTAAAAACAAGGCCCCGTCTCTCATAATTCGTTCCGAGCATATCGCTTTAGTACGCAGTTTACGCAGTTAGAGGATCATATTGTGTTTTATTTATTTTTAAACATGTCATGTGTGATGTATAATTTCTCATTTAGGACGTAGGTTTGTATAGTTTTCTTCGTAGGATCGTCATCGAGTGCCGTCGTGTGACCGTTGAATGGTTGCACATGCTGTTCAACAATGATTATTTGCGTCTCGTTTTATTTGCAGAGTCGTTTGAAGCCCGGAAGAATGCTCCTCGTCGACACTCTCGAGAAGAAGATTATACAGGACGTTGAACTAAAGTTGCAGATAGCTAGAAGCAGACCTCACTCGAAGTGGTTGAAAGATCAGGTACGGTATCGTTGTATTTTCTCCCTCTTCTCTCCATCTTCTCTCCACCTTCTCTCCACCTTCTCTCCATCTTCTCTCCATCTTCTCTCCATCTTCTCTCCATCTTCTCTCCATCTTCTCTCCATCTTCTCTCCATCTTCTCTCCATCTTCTCTCCATCTTCTCTCCATCTTCCTCTCGATAAAACTGTTCTTCCCCCCTGACTTTACTCGTATCTTGAAAATCATCGAAAGCTTTAACACGAAACGAATTCATTTGTTTTTGCTTCCGCAAACCTTTTTGCCCGAATAACAAGATGGTGAGTTTCGTGTTCGTAATCGTACTCGTACTCGTATTCTTAGCTACGATTTATGCCCTCTACGCGTACCGCGTTGCAATCAACTTTGCTTGGATTCTCGCAGATCACGATGGAGGAGTTGCGTGCCGCGGACAACGGTAGAAGCCGAACGGCGGTAACGTCGGAGCACCGGACAATCGAGAGAAAAGAATCGAGCGACGCGAATCCCGTGTCCGCTGTGAATCGGGTCTGGGGAGGCGACAAGAGGCTCTCTCTCTACGGATACACGCTGGAGACCATCAACATGTTGCTTCTACCGATGATGCAATCCAAGTACGTGAACACGCGTCGTGTCTCGAACCAAACAGTTTTCGCATCTGTCGTGTGACATTCCATCTGAACGGTAGCGTCAATTGTTTGAGACAGCGCGCCTATTTTGCTCCGTGTCTCCGTTAATATCGTTTTCTCTGTCCAATGATCGTTCAGAAAAGAAGCGTTGGGCTCCATGGGAAACGATGCACCGCTCGCTTGCCTTTCCCAATTTCAGCCGCTCATCTATGACTATTTCAAACAACTGTTCGCGCAGGTAGGTTTCTCGCTAATGGGTAGTCTCTCTTCTAATGTTTCGCTTTTCTTGTTCCACGATGTTTTTCGATAACACCGCTTTCTTCTTAACGTCGAACGTCGTGTTCAGGTAACGAACCCGCCGATCGATCCGTTCCGAGAGAAAATCGTCATGTCGATGCTTTGTCCCATCGGACCCGAGAGTAACATCTTGGAGCCAAACGAGTTGCAAGTGCATCGATTATTTTTGCCGCAACCGATACTATCGTTGGAGGATCTAGAGGTGATCAAAGGAACGAAATATCGCGGCTGGAAGAGCAAACTGATCGACATGACGTACCCCGTGGAAGACGGTCCGTCCGGTTTGTTGGATACGTTGGATCGCGTGAACCGCGAAGCGAATCAAGCGGCGAAAGAGGGCTACCAGTTCTTGATTCTTTCCGATCGCCGTGGAGGGCCTGACAGGTGAGAATCGATCGCGCCGATTTCGAAGGTCTTGACGCGTTATCGTTATCGTTTCAAGAATATCGCGTACATCGGTCCGCGAGTCGCGGATCCCCGGGCACGATAATTCACCGCGGTGTCTTCGCAGAGTGCCTGTCAGCAGTCTGTTGACCCTCGGTGCGGTGCATCATAATTTAATCGAGGAGAGACAACGCATGAAGGTCGGCTTGATCGTCGAGACGGCCGAAGCCAGGGAGGTGCATCAGATTTGTTTACTTCTGGGTTACGGAGCGGACGCGATCTGCCCGTATCTTGTCTTCGAAATGGCGAGAAACCTTCGAGCGGACGGCGTACTCGATTCGTCGTTGACCGACAATGCTTTGTGCGCGGTATGTTCGCGGTAGACGGTTCACTTACTCGCTCTTCCATAGTTTCGTTTAGATAGATAGATCGCATAGATCCTTTTTCGGAACTTGTTCTCTCTCGCAGAACTACGCGGAAGCGATGGAGAGGGGTATAGCAAAGGTAATGGCAAAGATGGGCATCTCCACGTTGCAATCGTACAAAGGAGCACAAATTTTTGAAGCGGTTGGCCTGTCCGATGAGGTGATCAACAAGTGTTTCAAGGTACGTTCCCCTTTCGGTTCACGGAATATCGCTCGCTTCGGTTGAACGGGACGCGCGATCGAGAGGTACGCGTGATTAGAAACTGGATCCAATTAATGAATTCACGATCCGTGATTAAATTTTCTGAATGATGTACCGCGCACTGCGATTCCCAACTGAACGACGAGACCCCTCGCAACTCGCCTGAACGAATACTGTGCTCATTTCTCGATCTGTGATACTCGTTAGGGCACGCAATCCCGTATCGGTGGTGTCACCTTCGACATTTTAGCGAAAGAAGCGTACGAAAGGCATCAGATCACCTATTGGAATAAATCGCTGGACATGCTCGTTATTCGCAATCCAGGAATTTACCATTGGCGCGCGGGTGGAGAGAAACACATAAATGACCCTGACAGCGTTGCCAATCTGCAGGTGGGTTTCGACAGGCGATACCATCCTCCTACCCGCAAGATGGTGGCCGCATGCTAAATTTCTCTTGGTAAATTTATAGGATTACGTGAATTCGAAAAACCAGAATGCCTACGAAAAATATAGAAAGACAACGATGGAGATGGTCAGGGCCTGTACGTTGCGAGGTCAACTGGAATTTCTCGAAACCTCGGAAAACTCGATACCCATCGAACAAGTCGAACCTGCCTCCGAAATCGTGAAACGGTTTGCAACCGGTGCTATGAGCTTCGGAAGTATTTCGATGGAAGCGCACTCAACTTTAGCGATTGCTATGAATCGTATCGGAGGCAAATCGAACACTGGCGAGGGAGGTGAAAATGCTGATAGGTAAAAACCACCTATAAGACGATACGTCTACACGCTTAACAGGATATCGCGCGAAATAACGCTTGGATGTTTCTTTCCTGCAGATATCTCGATCAAGATCCAGAATGGAATAAACGATCGGCCATCAAACAAGTTGCCAGCGGTCGCTTCGGAGTAACTTCGAGCTATTTGGCAAACGCCGACGACCTTCAGATTAAAATGGCGCAAGGGGCCAAGCCTGGAGAAGGCGGCGAATTGCCTGGCTACAAGGTAAGGGATGCAAGTAATATAGGAGAAACTCGATACGACAAAGTATCGTCGGACCTCTCTGCGCAGGTGACCGCTGAAATCGCTGCGACCAGGCATTCGGTACCCGGCGTGGGGCTGATCTCGCCGCCACCTCATCACGACATCTATTCGATCGAAGATCTCGCCGAACTGATTTACGATTTGAAATGCGCAAACCCCAACGCTCGTATTTCCGTGAAACTGGTCTCCGAGGTAGGAGTGGGCGTAGTCGCGGCAGGCGTGGCAAAGGTAACGTTACGATCTACGATCCGTTTGCTCGACCGCGGAACCTGTCCTAACCTTCTCTCATCCGTGTGCGCGTGTTCGATGGGAACAGGGGAAAGCGGAGCATATAGTGATATCTGGTCATGACGGTGGAACCGGTGCGAGCAGTTGGACGGGAATCAAATCCGCAGGTTTACCGTGGGAGTTGGGAGTCGCGGAAACTCATCAAGTTCTAACCTTGAATAATCTGCGCTCGCGAGTCGTGGTTCAGGCGGATGGACAGTTGCGGACAGGATTCGACATCGTGGTGGCGGCTCTATTGGGCGCGGACGAATTTGGATTCAGCACGGCACCTTTGATTTCCATGGGCTGCACAATGATGAGAAAGTGTCATCTGAACACCTGCCCCGTGGGTATCGCGACCCAAGATCCTGCGCTGCGGAAGAAATTCGAAGGGAAACCGGAGCAAGTGATCAACTTTTTCTTCGCTTTAGCGGAAGAGGTATGTGAGGAGGAATACATTTAGGAGAATCGTCGCGACCGAGCGAATTCGAGCATCGTTTGCTTCTCTGTTTCGACAGGTACGCTCTTACATGGCCACCTTAGGAATCCGTAAGTTTCAAGATCTGATCGGACGTACGGATCTGTTGAGAGTTCGGAAAAATCTGTCCATCGAGAAAGCTAGAACGCTAAGTTTCGACAATATTTTGCGCAGCGCGCTCCAACTCCGACCCGGAGTGAACATTAAGGGTGGATCGATGACGCAAGACTTTCAGCTAGAAAATAGATTAGACAATCGTGCGATCGAATTAGCGAGGGACGTGTTGGATGGAAAACGTAACCGCGTCGACATCGAATTGAACATCAATAACGAATGCCGGGCATTTGCGTCAACTTTGAGCTATCATATTTCAAAGTAAGTCGACACGCCGTGTCTCGTTTGTTTCCCTCCACTCTGACAAATCGATCTTTCCGATCGTCGGTATAATCGGCTACCTCTCTCGATCGTAGACTGCACGGCGAAGATGGTCTTCCCGAGGACAGTATCCGTATAAAGATGAAAGGTTCTGCTGGGCAGAGCTTTTGCGCTTTTATGACCAAAGGTGTGCACGTTACGCTCGAAGGGGACGCGAACGATTACGTCGGAAAGGTAATTCGAAGAATATTCTTTCGCGTTCGGTCTTGCGCGTGACACTTTTACACGCTGCTCGTTGAAACACGTTTATCGTTCGACCTCTGTTCGGATGTTCAGGGACTCTGCGGAGGAGAAATCGTGATATACCCGCCAAAGGATTCCACCTTTGATTCCGATGCAAATGTGATTGTTGGCAATGTCTGTCTGTACGGCGCAACTTCCGGGAAAGCATACTTCCGGGGTATCGCTGCCGAAAGGTTCAGCGTTCGTAATAGCGGAGCAACAGTTGTGGTGGAGGGTGTGGGCGATCACGGGTGCGAATACATGACCGGCGGCTGCGCGGTTATTCTGGGCCTCACCGGACGAAATTTCGCGGCTGGAATGTCCGGCGGAATCGCTTACGTGCTGGATGTGGACGGCTCCTTCAAGAGGTAAATCCCCACGCGATATCTCCTATCGTTCCGGCATAATACGAGGTTCCATTCTCGATTGATTCTATTTTAGTAAATGCAACCCGGAAATGGTGGAGCTGCTACCTCTGACCAACTCGGAAGATATAGCGCACGTGAAAGGTCTTTTGGAAGAATTCGTCGAAAAGACTGGTTCTCTGATCGCAAAGGATCTTCTGTTGCTATGGCCCGAGCCGACCACGCGTTTCGTTAAGGTATATTCGCGCTTTCGATACGCTCTCCGTTCTTTGTGCCGCGAATTGGCTAGTTAGAAGCGAGTTACTCGCGATACGCAACATCGTTGAATATTTCTTCTTGTACAAGGTGTTTCCGTACGAGTATCAACGTGCACTGAAACAGCTTCAGGAAGCGAAACTCGCGCAACCGATTCTGAACGGAAATTCTCAAAAGCCATTAAACAACCAAGTGAAAGATATCGAGGATGCCATCGTGGACGTTGACAAGGAACAGCGGAAATTGGACAAAATAAGGTGGTAGAGCAGAATGAGCTTCCTATATATCCAGTTGTATCCAGTTGTATCCAGTTGTATCCAGTTGTATCCAGTTTCTCCTACCGCCCCCCCCCCACCTTCTCTCTATCGAGGGTTCATTCTCGCGATATCGTTTCCAGGGGATTTATGAAGTACAAAAGACAAACGGGAGTGTATCGGCCGGTTGAAAATCGTGTAAACGATTGGGAGGAGATCTACAACTTTCAAGGAGTCCGGAAAGGGTTGCGCACTCAAGCGGCAAGATGCATGGAGTGCGGCGTGCCGTTCTGTCAAAGTAGCCACGGCTGTCCATTGGGAAACATTATTCCAAAATGGAACGATCTCGTTTTTCAGTCGAATTGGAAAGAAGCTTTGAATCAATTACTGCAAACCAACAACTTCCCAGGTTGGTACGACGGATGCTGCGTGCGATCGTGTCGCTGCTCCGGATACGCGTATGTAGAAGGTGACGGAACAGAACCGGCGTTAACCGATCGAAATGCTGTTAGAATTTACAGGGAGAGTTTGCCCCGCCCCGTGCGAAGGTGCTTGCGTTTTGGGAATATCCGAGCCGGCTGTCACTATAAAGAACATCGAATGCGCGATCATCGATCACGCGTTCGAGCAAGGTTGGATCGTGCCGCATCCACCGAAAACGAGGACCGGTCGCCGCGTCGCCGTGGTCGGTTCTGGCCCAGCAGGCTTAGCCGCGGCCCATCAGTTGAACAAGGCGGGACATTTGGTGACCGTTTTCGAGAGAAACGATCGAATCGGTGGTCTTCTGCAATACGGAATACCGACGATGAAGCTGTCGAAGCAGGTCGTTCAAAGGAGAGTGTCCCTTCTCGCCGCGGAAGGGATCACTTTTAAAACGGGCGTGAACGTTGGGAAAGACGTCTCTGCCAAGGTTAGCTTCTCCTTCATGCTCGGACAAGCTCCGATAAACGATATTTATTTTGATATTCGCGACAGGAATTGCGCGAACAGTACGACGCGTTGTTACTGTGCACCGGAGCGACATGGCCAAGGGATTTAGAAATACCTGGTCGACAACTGGACGGCATCCATTTCGCGGTAAACTTCTTGGAACATTGGCAAAAGAAACAAATGGGAAACGACATTCCTCTCGACATGCGTTTGATGGCTAAAGACAAAGATGTTATCATAATAGGCGGTGGCGACACTGGATGCGATTGTATAGCTACGTCGTTGCGACAGGTAAAACTATTCCTATTACCAAATTTTTTCCTTTTTCTTACGTAGATTTATTTGTTCCGCGAAGGGTGCCAAAACTATCACAACCTTCGAAATCTTGCCGGAACCTCCGAGTAAGAGATCGGACGACAACCCGTGGCCTCAGTTTCCACGCGTATTCAAGGTGGACTACGGTCACGAAGAGGTTTCGCTCAAGTTCGGCCGTGATCCGCGTCAGTTTAGTACTTTAAGTAAAGTAAGTAGACGGAATCGCTGGTACGAAACCATGTTACGTTACTGATTCGATGTTGTTGCGTTACACGCGTTTGGCAATAGGAATTCTTAGACGATGGAAATGGTCACGTGAGCGGTATTAAGACGGTTACGGTTTCATGGGCGATGGAGAACGGCCGTTGGAAGATGGAGACGGTTCCCGGATCGGAGAAGGTAAGAACTCGTCGAATTCCATCTGTATCGTTAAAAGTTGAAAACCGTCAGCCTCCTATTGAAAAGTTTCGTCTGGTTCGCGAAATTTGTGTTGCCAGGTGTACAAATGCGATTTGGTGTTACTCGCGATGGGATTCTTGGGCCCCGAAAAGTACGTTGCGAGTGAACTGGACGCGTCGATGGACGAGAGGGGCAATTATAAAACTGCAACCGGTAAATACGAGACAAGCTTGACTGGGACGTACGCGGCTGGAGGTAAGTTAGTTGTAGAGATTTTCCGGTGGTGGTTGCCGAGTTTTCAGGAAGAAGCGATACTAATGCAACGACGACGCGCATTCTTCTACGCAGACTGCCGACGTGGACAGTCATTGGTCGTTTGGGCGATCACGGAAGGCAGGCAAGCCGCGAGGGAGATAGACCTAGCTTTAATGGGCACGACCGGGCTTCCCGTGTCTGGTGGCATAATACCAAACATCATGGCCTGAACGTTGCGGCTGGCGACACACGTGTCTTTTCACGCGAACGATGTCCACCTTTGTTCTCCGTCATTCCCTTCTAGCCCTGCGCGATCGCGTCGCGAGCAGGTACTCTACCGTTGAACGAACGAGGAAGAGAAGCGATCTACGATCTGCGTGAACCATTCGAGATATATCAGTATTATCGAAAGCTAACGATTAGCATCCGAAATTCTTTTGCATGATCACTCTCATACCGCGTACAGGACTCGAGATCTTTTCTTAAACTGCAGCGATCGTTCTGCCGATACAGATTTGTTCGTTCGTTCGTCTTTCACCAGGATTATCTATGTAATTAGCGTACCAGTCTGTCGAGCAAGCTATACGTAAATAATAAATACTCTTAGGTGTACTACGAAATCCGTAGATCTCGTCTTATTGTTCTCTCCGTTCTGTATTTCTTTGGCGAAATAGCACGAGTGCGAACCTACGATTAGTTATTGTATCGACTCGCATCTTTCGTCGAACCAATCCAATTACACCGGCAGAGTGGAATCGGAATTGTCCGCGAGAAGCAAACTCTCATGATTTCAGTGCGAAACCGTGTACGAGCGGCATAAACGTTCAACGGAAACAAATGAAACGCATTCGGCATTTACGGTAAACGCGAGGTTAGGTCATTCGAATTTCTTTAGTTGGAGTGCATCAGGAGTATACCGTATACTGCGATCTACGTGTATACTACACTTATCCGTACAACAAATTGATCGTATGCTATTTATTCGTGAAAATGCAAACATGTGTCTAGAGATTTTATAACTACAATATATATGTACAAATGTTTCATATACCAACGAATTAACTCTTATTCCGTTTGTTCCGTGTACTATACACGCGCTCTATTCTTAAGTATATGCGATAGAAGACGGAAGAAATACAATTTATGACAATAAATGAACGAACGAATGAATAAAATATAAAAGTGCTCTATTGTAATCAAGCAAACAATAAAAAGCGTGAAACCTAAAGGTCTGGCTAGCAATTTCGAACGAAGTTTGTCCAGTATCGATCCATACAAAAGAAAAAAAGATATACATATACATATATATATACATATATATATATATATATATATATAGTTTTTGGAAATATTTCATGAAAAGATGAAATATCGAAGGTTCGAAGCAAACCCAATTGATCGGTTCGCCCCTTCGAAATTTCCGGAAGCAAACTGGCAGGAATTCGTCCGAGAAGAATGGACGGAACACCTGATCGTTTCTATTCGCGATGAAATCATTGAAATAGCAGCGAACGAAATCAGCCAACGGCAGCGAAAAAGAAGGTCGTTTCGATTCATCGGTCAATGCCTTCGGACGCTTTGGTTACGTCTATTCGACGCAAGTACATATTGATAAATGCCAAATTATATGTCCACAAGTTGAACTCGAGCTATTTATTCGTCGAAATGTTTGTTTAACATTAATTTGCCTTTCCATCGTCCCCTCCGTAGTGGTTGGAACCGTATTCGAATCTCAACGAGGCTGTTTCGATCCCCATCTCGGAGAAATCGTCGCGCCCAATTGACATTGATATTCAGCCGCAGCCATCCTTCGTCGATCGTTGGATCGTTCCAGAAGTTGTCGAAAACGTTTGTTTCGCAAACACCACCTTTTCCTAATTGTTACATTGTCATTTGAAATGAAGTAATTTTTATTAAGAAAACGGAACGATCGCATAATTATACATTCAAAGTAACACAGTCAAATTGCAATCTCATCTGTTGCATTAGAAATAGGAAAAACGAGCAAACCAAGGGGAGAACGGTCGCTAAAGACTTGGGCCAATGATGGTATTTGCTATTTACCCATCCGCGTTCCACGGTAATAGCCCTTGCAGAGGAATCTCGTGCGAAGATGGTTTTGCGTACTTTCGAACGAAATAAATCATTTTATTTGCTTGTTCGTACATAAAAAGTGTGCGCATCTTTAACGCAGAATTAGTAAGCAGCAAGTATGTAGGTATGTTCCAACCGAGTTTCATTGAATTGAATTGAATTGAATTGAATTGAATTGAATTGAATTGAATTGAATGAAATTGAATTGAATAGTGGTGTGCATTGTTAAATTTTTCTCTTGACTCGCGCGATAATTCGTTTCGAGAATAATTCTCCATCTGGAATATTATCGGAGCAAAGGTATAATTTTAGAGTAATTCGCCAATAAAAATGTTATGGTGTATCGTGTATTAAAACATTTGAAACAATTCATTTCTTGTCTCTTATTTAATAGTAAGATCACAAATTAAAATCAACATCACATATAGTAGGTGGTAAAGAAGAACTCACAGAAGGAAAGACGCAAAGTCCTTGCTACGTAAAAAATTTCAAAGATCAGTTGTAATAAGCATAGGCAGCCGTTTCAACAAATACGAGGTAGCATATCAACAAAATCTCCTTCAACGGAAAAGACAATCGCATCAAAGTTTGTCATTTACATTTGTTTTTCTGGTCATTTCTCTGTCGTGTTCCCAAGCAAGCGATAAACAACGATAATAACGTATATAAAAATTAAATATTCTATATGCTATGTATCTAGTTTCTCTTCGTTATTTCTAGTTTTTTACTCAAGTACAAAATATACGTAACAGCATTTTATACTCTGTTTTCTACGTAATCGATAGTAACAATACAAACGAACATCACACATACGTCATTAGTAGTTTCCTTATGTTTCTCTTTTTCGTTTATCTCTCGAATGAAACGAGAAGATTCTTTTATTCGATGATTCGATCCATGTAATTTGCGAAGCGAATATGCGAATATTCGAGTATCAGAGCACCTCTTCGATTTCCTCGATGTTTCGAAGATAAACGCACACGTAATTCTTGTACTACAAAAACTTATTCTGACAAATTTTATCATATATATATATATATATATATGCAACGCTGGTCAGTCTTATAAATTCATATATATATATATATCATACATACATATGTACGTTACCTACCACACATACACAAACGCGCGCGCTCGCGTTACACACGCACGCACGCATTGCATATCTCTATTTATACGAATCCATGCATCGTCGTACGCACGCGCGCGCACGCAACTCGCGAGCTCACAGCGCGCAAAGATAGATGTACTAGATATAATTCGTATGTAATTATTAATAAATTTTCGCCCATGCGCGCGCATTAAATGTACTTGTGGAAGATCGCTGCTTGCTTTCTCGAGCCCTAATTTCTGTTTTCAAAAGGAATGCTTTTGCTCAAAGCTGTACCCAGTTCCGTCTTGGAAACATCCGCATTAGAGAAGAAAGTGCGTTCAGAAGTTCTTTCATAGAAAGCATTTTTTCATGGAGAAAACATATCGCAACGTGAGAAGTACAGCCATGGAAACGTATCGTACCAATTTACATTGAGCGAATGTAAAGTCAAATGCAAATCAATTTCGGTTGCGCGTGGCCTCTTCGTTGAACGAAACAATCGAGCAATACACGTTTCCTCTTGCGTATCGGGTCAACGCGTTTGTGTACGCGATTCCAAACATTTCTAATCTTCCGTTCTGTTCCGTTCTGTTCTGCTCCAACAAATAAATGATTCAACGATTGCTTTCAAATAATTATCAACAACGAATTGCTCAAGTGACCAGTGTTGTCCATATTTGAAAGTGTCATTACACGTGTCGGTAAGAAAATTCTCGCAAACAGAAAGAATCGCGTATAGAAACGATTTTCGTCGCCTCGAACAGTATTAAAATTTATATTTCGTGTTACTATCACAATAGCTCATTGCGTAGATCAAGTCTCGTTGAACCGATTACGACATTAACGGATAAAACCACAGCCAAATTGCACGAATATCTTCGACGCATCTTACAGTGAGGAAAGCGTACATTGTTTTTTAAGGTTCCGGGACTTTACAGATACGTACGAAATCGATGCGCATTCATCGTATCCCGTTCTAGGTTGAAATTTCTGGTTTAGTTCCTGGTCACGAGTCTCTCTCTCTCTCTCTCTCTCTCTCTCTCTCTCTCTCTCTCTCTCTCTCTCTCTCTCTCTCTCTCTCTCTCTTTCATTCTCATATTCTCTTATTCTTTCACAGATTCAGATGCACGCTTTCTCCCTTTCTTCATCCCTTTCTGACTTTTACATTAAACGTTTCTTCGTAATCACAACGTTTGTTAGGTCATTCTAAACCGAGCGTCCACTCGATATACAATACCCATAAACATCGAATCGATCACTTAAAATGGTCGTACCCATTCTACATAAAAAATTCAACGACGCGGATTTACATGTAAGCGAAATGTTCACTGCACTTGCTGATACGATCTGTATAATTTTTTCTTTTCCAAAGTAAAATCCCTACTGATCATGACGGTACCGCCCCTGGTAAGATTCCTGCAACGAAATCACCAATTGAAATAACGTGAAACACGATTCTTGTAGAGTAATTTACTTATTTGTTTTGTTGCTCCTTGCTCTCTCTCTCTCTATCCTCGTTGTTCTTTCATAATATCGTTACTCACTTTAAAAACTGAGGTAACAGGATGTGCCAAGACGTGTGATCTTGTTTCAAGGTCAGATACAGTTCAAAGGTAGACACCGCGTTAGGGTCGCATTGTATTCTTGATAATTTTCGACACATATTGTCCGTTTCAAAGTTGATAAATAGAGTACAACCCCTGAAACGAACGATAGGTTAAAAGACTAGGATAAGGGGAAAAGATATGCACGAAATAAGAGAGTAGGGATAAGATAAATTACCTGAGACCGCAAGGTTCGTTTTCTGCCATACTTAGAACTTCTCTGGCTATTCTAGATAGGAGATCGGCAGGCAATAGTACTTCCCCGCACACCAATTGAGCGTGTTTTGCTCTTCTCAACTCGACTTCGAGTCGTTTCGCCAGTGCCTGGCAAGCTCCATCCAATTCGTCGGTCACAGTTTCAGCTAACAATAAACGACTGATTAGATCTTTCCGTAATGAAAATACTCACGGACTTGTTTTGACAATAAAGGGTGCGCAACCGTGCCTCTGTCCTCTACTTTCTACATAGACGCTACTCGTTCCATAGGTAATACCCTCATTGTCAGTATTACCCCCACCACTTCCTCGATTTATCTCGCGCGCGCGTGTACGTGACGCTGGTACGCTCTGTGTACGCGTGTGCCGTGTATACGTGATGCGTGTGTGCGTGCGGTCGCGTCGCGCGCGCGCGCGCGCGCACGTATGATTCGTAAAATCAGCTGAAACGAACGAGTTCGCGTTGCGACAGGATCTATCGGCTATCATCGAACGATGCGTACAGCACGCGATCGGTCATCGAACTAGAGAGGGTAACGATGAAAAAATTTACCTCTGGTGTTGCTGAAATTCACTTTGACGGGGCATGGTAAAACCTCCATGATCCAAAGATGTTGTACAGACACGATGAATGTCGGTACGATCTTTCTGGATGGTCGCAAGACACAGAGAATACGAGAGTTTCTTCGATGTCAACGAATTCACGAGTTCGGTCTGTGTCCGCGAGTTCCCGACAATTGTCACGAATCCAACGGGAAGAAAAGCCGCGGTCTGTCGGATATCCGAATGCGAGGAATCAGCGTTGTTTTTTGGTTTTAAACTTTCACTGAAATCGACGTCCCTACGAAACAAGTGAAAAACGAACGAGCCCCTTCCTTTGGTTCGACAACTGATTCGCCGGCATCGATGACGCGACTTTTATACCGGCTATCCCCTCTCTCTTAATTTTTCCCTTCCATCGGACTCCGACAAACCGCCTAGCAACACCGGCTACGTGATGTTTCTCACTGTGTCCACTTCGGGTGTTTCCGCTTATGATCGTTCGATCAACTTCGGTTCTTAATACCGTTTTCCTTCACCGTCATTCACCAAACGAGTTACCCTGTTTCGACTTTATAAGCAGTCTATTGGCGTTATGCATCTTCCTTTCCCTTTTTTCTTTCGATCTCTTACTTCGATTTACAACTTTCTTTTGTTCCTTTCAATTGATCGATCATTTCATTACCGCGTTTTCAGGATTTCAGACGCACACTCGCGTACACGTGTATTCGAGCAGTGCCTGTAGATAGAAACAAATTTAATTCGTACCTCTACAACGATTCGCCACTGAAATATTTTCACGCGTTAGTTCGCTACCATTCGTACATGTACAAAATCTTTAAATCTTTTTCTCCGATGGAACAGATCGAACACACGTCTGAATTATCATCGAAATATGCTAGTTCGTTGACTAACGAGAATTGGGTCGACATTCGATTCGAACAGATAGAAAATCGATCATGGATTTATCTTTCTATAAGAGTTTAGAAACGCGAAAGAACGATTTAACCGTCGTATGAAACGAAAACGCGGAGATTAAGGATCTCGCAATAGTTACGCCGTCTGACATAAGTCGAAAAATCAGATTCGGATGTATGTATTTCGAACGTTTCGTCCTTTTCGTTTCTTTAGTCTTTATGTTACGTTTATAAAAATAGAACTGACAACATGTGCGATACGACTGTTATTATTGTGTACCTTATTCTATTGCTACATAACCTTTATAAGTATGTTTGTTTCTAGAAAAAAACTTGTATTGTTCAGCAGTTTTAATACTGCACTGTGTGTATCGTATTGTTTGTTTATCAAGTTTGTTGGTCAAAGCTTCGATAATGTATGCTTTCATCTATGAAAATGCAAACGCAAAAATACCGATTTTTCTCCTATAACAACATTTTTGTTACACGAGTAGCATAGTCATTTTTATAGATTAATTTCGATCGAAAAGAAATCTCGAACTTTTTGCTTCTATGTATGACGCAATATCGAGAAAAATTGATTTCACTGTTCTAATGAAAAACAACGGACATGGTGGATTTCTACGTTATACGATGTACAATATAAGTACTTGTTTGTACGAGGTACCCAAGTAAGTAGGTACATACGTACTTACTTACGTACTTACTTATTTACTTACTTACATACACATTGCACTGTTTTTATAACTTTATAGGTACTTGGAACAGATTCATTTGTTCTATACTTGTGCCTTTCCGTTGTTGAGTTTCCATCTATGTACTATATACGTACTATAGAGGTACCTATGCCATGTATTCTACTATTTCTTAATAGAATGAACAAGTAAACGAGAAACAAAGTTGTACGAAAAAATCTCTATAAAATGTTTCAAATTCGATTGAAAATTTTTGTTGTTACCGCCCTCTACTGAACATCGACTGTTGTGCAGTAACTTCGGTTAATCGAAAATGTCGACAACGTCGTGTGACGTGTAGTTTACGGCTGCTAGCTGTTACTTTGTCAACAAAATGGAATACTTTAAAAGTAGTTTAAAGTCTGTTTTAGGTTCTACACCTGTGGAGAACGAACCGTCAGGCGCAGATACGGTATATTTGAATTTTCAATCAACAATTATTTTTACATTATTCTCACATTATTTTTACATTACTTTTACATTATTGTTCTCGCGCGTTCCAACATGTAAAATTTGAAAACCATTGGATATTCAGTCACAATACCGAAGCAATCTTCTCTCGTGCAGATCAAATTTTCAAACATATTGACATCTCTGTTGCCTTTTTATTTCACTATTCTTACGTCTCTGTTAATTGTATTCATTTCTAATAATGTGTGTGCAGGTAGAACGGTTAGTGGACAGGTTACAATCATCAACATTGTTGAATGACAGGCGAGATGCTTGTCGAGCACTTAAAGCTCTTTCGCGTACTTATCGCGTCGAAGTGGGAGCTCAAGGAATGGATGCATTGAGACAAACATTGGAAGTTGACAGAACGGATTGTGAAATTATAGGTTTAGCACTGGACACTCTTTGCAACATAACTAATCCTAAAATGTTCGACGAAGAAGGTAACCGGTCATGCTTATTAGTTATCGTCTTTATGTATACCGAAATTAAATTACAAATGTGTATTCGCAATAAAAATGTCATTTGCAGTGGATAAACATGGACCCGAGAATAAAGTAGGAGAACAGTTTACAGAAATATTTATTAAGAATTCTGATAGCATTGGAGCAGTATTAACACTTTTAGAAGAATTCGATTTTACCGTTAGATGGCCAGCACTGAAATTATTAATGAATTTGTTAACCAATAGGCCAAAGGATATTCAAGAAATAATTTTAATCAGTCCCATGGGTGTTTCGAAATTAATGGATCTCCTCGGGGATAGCAGAGAAGTCATTCGTAACGATGTATGTTACCGTTACATTGAAATGTATTAGACATTTTCACATTTCAGTTGCCTCGTAAATATCTATCGATCATTATTATTATAGGTTTTATTGCTTTTGATTCAATTAACTAAAGGTAACGCGAACATTCAAAAAATTGTTGCATTCGAAAATGCATTTGACAGAATTTTTGATGTTATCGAACAAGAGGGTAACGCGGAAGGTGGTATTGTCGTAGAAGATTGTTTGTTACTTATGTTGAACCTTTTAAGGAGTAATATAAGTAATCAAAACTTTTTCAAAGAAGGTAATAATAATAATCTTTTCGACTATTAGACCATTTCTCTGGAGGAACCAATGGTGACATAATGAAACGGTATTTCCTGTCTTAGGTAGTTACATACAAAAACTGACACCGATGTTCCAAATACCACCTGAACTAGAAGATAGTCCCTTGGGAGGTTGGAGTCCACAGAAGGTCTCGAATGTTCATTGCATGGTACAAGTAGTTAGAGCATTAGTGGCGCCAAGTGGACCTGCTCAGGTAACCACCGATTCTAACGTTCAATTTCCGGATTTAGCCTAAATATTTAGCCTAAATAACTTTTTCAAAATAATCCTGTTCAAAGGCAGTAGCAACTTGTCAGCAGATCATGAGAGCATGCGGATTATTGCAAGCTTTGTGTAATATATTAATGGCTAGCGGCGTGCCCGCGGATGTATTAACAGAGACGATTAATACAGTGGCTGAAGTAATCAGAGGAAATGCTAGTAATCAAGAATTTCTAGCAGGGGTAATGGCGCCTAGTAGTCCCCCCAGGTAAAATACTACTTAAAGAAACATTTGAGATGAACATTTTCTGTAACTGTATACTGGTGTATAGGCCTGCAATTGTTGTTTTACTGATGTCTATGGTAAACGAAAAACAACCGTTCGTGTTAAGGTGTTCCGTTCTCTACTGCTTTCAATGTTTCTTGTACAGAAACGAAATAGGACAAAATCAATTAATTCAGACATTATTGCCACAAGGTAACGAGATGCCGTCTTTGACAACAGGTTTGTTAGCATTTATGTCGTTCTTTCTTATACATAGATTGTTTGGATTGTAATGCGTTAAGGACGTAAAAGGTTTGTTTGACGAATATAATATTGCTAGGACAGTTGTTGTGTGGAGGTCTGTTCTCCCCGGATCCTTTATCGAATTGGTTTTCCGCAGTAGCGTTGTCTCATGCATTGATCGACGATAGTACACAGAAGGAACAACTACTGCGTGTACTTCTGGCGACTAATATCGGAAAGCCACCGGTGACTTTGATGCAACAATGTGTCATGTTACTGCAACAAGGCAATAAAACACAATGCAAATTAGGTCTTTTAATGCTACTTTGCAGATGGACCGCGTACTGTCCAGCAGCGGTTAAATCATTTTTACTTATTAATTCTTCTGTAGCTTATTTAACTGCATTATTATCATCACAGGAGAATAACGACGATCTACAGGAAACTTTACTGCAAAGTATGTGTGCCATACTTATTGGATTGTGCATACATTTTAATGACAACAGTGTTTCTAATTATACAAAGGTATTATTGCAATTATTAGAAATTTCAAAGATAATCGCGTACAGAATGTTAGAAAACAGGCAATTCAATGGATTCTTTTTAGGAAAAATTGTGCGATTTAATTGAGAACAGAATAGGATTGGAAAGATTTCAGGATGCAATTGGAGGTCTTGCTAGACACGAGGTGTATTCGCGAACGTTGAAACATCCTCAGTCCTCGGCGAAGAATCCTTCGGAACTTCTATTGGATCATGAATTTTGTAGATTATCGAAAGCGTTAGAGGGTACCGACACTCACCTTTAATCACCATTTTCCGTCGTATCTAAGAGAACATTTTCCCTTGATTCAATCTATATATTTATATTATATTTTAGGTATAATTACGAAATCGGTTCTAGATACGAGCAGCTTACATCATAAAAATCAAATTACGTCAGCAATACCCGCAGACTCTGTTTTAGTAGCTCAATATAAGGAAGTTATTCGAGAACAAGACTTACAAATACAAAAGCTTAACCAAATCACAGAATCACTCGCTAAAGAGAAACACGAACTCGAAGTACGGTACAGTACAGTAGAAATTTTAGCAAATAATATTTCTAGAGGAAACTCCGGTAGATTTAATTAAATGTTTCTCATACTCGATACACATTGTTCGCAGGCACAAATATATGATTTACAGTCGACCATTAGTCACTTAAGGGATCAAAATTTAGTGTTACGTGTAGCACAAACTAATATGCTATCGGAAAGCGTAGAATCTGCCGACACAGTGAAAAATACAGATTCCGCAGAACTGGAGAAATGTAGGAACGTTATTAGCGAATTGGAAAACCGTTTGACAGAATATGCTTCGGTAATAAAAGAATACGAGCGAAAATTCGAAGAAAGAAACGAGACTGCTCATTTCGAATGTAAATTAAAGGAAAAATCTGAAGAATTAGATAAATTAAAAAAGGACCAAGAAGATCTTTTGGAACTTTTAACAGAACAAGATAGTAAAATTGTACTATACAAGGAACGATTGCTCGCGTTAGGTGAAAAGGTATTCTCAGTAAAGGTCATTATTTTAGATGTTTTCCAATTTTACATACTTTCTGAACGTCATCTATTCCCTATTAGGTTGAAACAGATGAAAGTTCTATCGAACTTGATACCGACGATCAACCGGAATCTACCAATTCTGTAGATCGAGTGAATTAACGTCACCTTCGATATTTAAACGTATTATAGTGTCAACAGTGAGAAGGGTTTTGTTTCAATGGTACCCCCTTTTACCTCCCTTTGCCTTAATTATTTTATTTGCTTGAAACGATTAGTATTCATTGCATTATAATGATATTGAATAGCAAATATTGATAAGTGGAAACACATGGTCAAAATAATTGTCTCCCACACTCTGACAAGTCCATGATTATCACTAGACGAAATTTCAATCTAGCGACAACAAATTTTCTACTATAACATGAGCTTTTTTAAGAGCATCTTGTAGTATTTTACGGTACTTTGTTTTCTTTACGTAATTCCAGATTACTTTCTTCGGACTGTTAATTGTTTTAAAGGATTGATTAATGTGCTGTATCGATATGCTTCAAAGAAGATGTATCAGTTTGCCTTAGACGTCGACGTTACGTTAAAACGATTCTACAGAGGAAAGTGAAATATATAAATAGATAAGAAAACAAGATTATTGTACCCTTGAATGACATAACGTGAAATTAATTTAGAATATAAGGTTCCATATATCATTTCTATACAATATTAAACGTACTTAAAGTAATTAAAGAATACTGTTGCCCGCATATGAGCGATGCGACACAGAATTTGTTAAAATTCCATTTTTTCCAATAATTTCAAGCAAATGCGCATAATAATAAAAATAAGCTATGCCGAGGTCTAGAACTTCGAACATCTGGTAGAACGACCCTATTAATGGGGATCCCTTCGGGATAGCAGTGCTATGAGCATTCCCTTAGACACTAAGCAGATAGGATTTGATAGAACATTTCTGACGCCTCGATATTTCAGAATGGTATGCAATGTTTGTATGGATCTTGTATCCAATATATAAGTTTTATCGCAGATGGTTTCACAGATCCTTTATATTTGTGTATTATTTGATTACGTATAACATATATTAAGTAAAATATATAATGCAATAGTTTGTACGACACAAATGTAGAAAGGTTCAGTAAAGCCTCTTAAATAAATAGATAAATAAGTAAATAAAAAATATGTGAGAATATGCGGACAATATTAATGGGAAATAATAACGAAAATAATGGATTGGATTTTCATTGAATATTTCACATATCGTATAATTTAACGTACACTTTAACGTAATAATTACAAAAGAGATTTTCGTTTTTCACATGCCTTTAATAAAAGCATCATGGTTGAAATGTCTGCAACTAAAGTTAGACACTTGCTATAATGCAGATTTCTATTTACATAGTACACTTAACCATCTACAGAGCGCTGTCTCGTTGTTTGATAACTGCTTGCACACACTTGGCCATTGTAGGTGAAGCACGAGACACTGCATCTGTCATGAAAAACTGGTCTAGCGTTTTTTGTTTCATTTCCAGTGGTTCCGAAGACAAGGGTTCCCTAGATTCCTATACAAATACGCGTACACGTTACTATAAATTTAACTCTAACCAAAGCATCGAATTATCTTTAGTCTCTTATTTAAATACCTTCGATAATTCTAACGCTTGGGAAATATAGTTAGCCGGTTCCACGGTACCATATCTAACCAAATGGGGTGCAATTTCTTCGAGTCTACCGCTTAGCTCTGTCAAGTTGTCGTACGGTAAACAGATACCACAAATCTGTAGTGTGGAAACATTTCATTGATCACGTTCTTTGATCAATTTTAGATAAATAAGGTTTCAACAATATTAAAACGTACCTCAGAAAGTGCTCGTATAATCTTCCAATCTGGACGTGCCATTCCTGGAGGTGTAACTGCAGCACAAGTTTGTTGAGCACGACCTTCTGTATTTACGTAGGTCGCAACTTTTTCTGTATACGCAGCCCCAGGAAGTATAACGTCTGCTATTGAGGCTCCTTCGTCACCATGACTACCTAAAAAAATTTAATAAAATATAAATTATCATTTGAGAATTGCTGTATACGATAAACGTAGTGCGTTGAATGTGCCTTTGCATATACCTATATATACGATGAAGGTATTTGGGAAGTCTTCTTTCTTTATATTTCCATCATCTGCTCCTAATAGGAAAAGAATTTTCGGTTGTACTTGCTTGACGTCTTCTATGGTCGATGAATAACCCACATCTAAAGCAGCTACTTGCGATGCATTTGTATGGAGGATATTTAACACTTTCCAACCTTCAGAAGCCTAGAAAAAAAGTAATATACATTGTCCCCTGAAAGATCTTGAGACACTCTAACCAGTTATAACATTTTAAGGTACATTTACTTCTAGCAATGAGAAGAATTTTTACTTACTTTCGAGTTTTCTTCTAAAGTTTGTGCCAACAGCTGTGTTTCAGATATAATTTTCGTTCCATCTTTTCTACTTAACTGCTCGACGCCTAAAAGGACCAGAGGTCTTTTAGCAGATTTTAAAGTGTTAGAGAATGGATGAGTACCATTTCTCAATTGTGTTATAATTTCAGGAGATTGACCTAAATGCTAAAACATAAATGAAATTTCAATCCTTGAAAATGAAAAAACTCAGTACAATGATGAATATCCACAGTAAAACTTACCTCATAGTCATATGTTAAATCTACATTCTGACCTATTAATGCAATAGTTTGTTCACCATGAAGGTATCCTTTCCTTAAACGTGTGTTCACCAATGGTGCTTCGTATCTCGGATTTGTTCCAATCAATAACACTACATCGGCTTCCTCGATTGCGGCGATTGTATTGTTTAATAAATAACTACTTCTAATATCAATCCCCGCGCCATGTTTTGGAAATGTTTGTTCCGTAGCAAGAGTTTCACTGCCAAGCCTATTTATTAAATCCTTCAATGCTACAAGAGACTCGGCATCTGCCAATTTTCCAGCAATTGCCGCACATTTATTTTGTGGTATACCTGCTGTAGTTTGAGCAACTGGAAAACAATATAATGCTTGAAATGAAAAAATATAAAAAAGCTTGCAAAACTCAAGAGACAAGTGTACTATATTAAGTTATTTTAAGAGTGTAACTACGTTTAAAGTACAACTATGATATACTTGCTACAAGAGCATCTTCCCAGTCTACAGCTTCTAATTTTCCATTGACTTTCATCATAGGAGTAATGAGCCTCTGTCGTTTAAGCCCATCATAAGAGAAACGTGCCTTATCCGAGAGCCACTCTTCATTTATTTCCTATAAAATATTATTAATATTATTTATAATTAAAGATTACAAATATAATTTAAAGAAAGATTATCGATAATGCTACCAACTTCGTTCACCCTTGGTAAAATTCTCAAAACTTCATTCGTTCGATGCGATATTACTATATTGCTACCCACAGCATCAAGAACATCTATGCTGTCCGTAGAACGTATCTCCCATGGACGAGCAACAAAAGCGTACGGCTTGCTGGTTAAAGCACCGACAGGACATAAGTCAATGATATTACCGGACAACTCGGACAGAAACATCTTTTCTACATAAGTTCCGACCTGTTAAAAATAATTTGAATAAATGTATATATAGAAATTTTAAGAGTATCAAAGTATACTTGACGTAAATGAAATGGCTTGACATACTTGCATATCGTTTCCACGACCTGTAGTTCCTAAGTCATCTATACCGGCTACTTCGGACGCAAAACGTATACACCTCGTACAATGGATACATCGTGTCATAATTGTTTTAATTAATGGACCAATATCCTTATCCTCCACCGCTCTTTTGCCGCTATAATTAATATCGACAAATCGACTTCGGTCGCTACCAAAAGCCATACTTTGATCTTGTAAATCACATTCGCCTCCTTGATCACAGATGGGGCAATCCAATGGATGATTTACCAATAAAAACTCCATCACGCCTTCTCGAGCTTTACGAGTTAAATCGGAATTTGTTTTTATCCTCCAACCTTTCATTACAGGCATGGCACAAGCAGCAACAGGCTAGACACGTTTACACAAGAAACTAGGTATAATTACTACTTATTTGTATCATCTATATCTTGAAATTTGTGATGATTATAATAAATACCTTGACCTGTTTTTCAATTTCTACAAGACACATCCTACAGTTTCCTGCTACAGCTAAACGTTCATGGTAACAGAATCTGGGAATTTCTACTCCTACTTTTGCAGCTGCCTAAGAAATGTAATTACATTGAAATAGAAATAGTGATATTTCAAAAAATGTTAAAAAATCAAAAAAACGGATAAATTATTTTTGTTAATAATAGAGAAATTGTTATTTTACCTGCAAGACAGTTGTTCCAGGAGGTACATGAACAGGTTTGTCATCTATGAATACCTCTACTAATTCTTGTTGCAACTTGGAAGATGTATGAAATCCCATAACAAAGGGCCTACCATTCGATAACCCTGTAGACAACCTTATTACCGAGAGCCTCAACATTTTGGCTCCGATCACTTTTACGCGTCGACGTTATGCTGTTATATAAGAAAAAGGTATAGTTAAAATTACGTTAGGTTCAATGAATGAAACGTAATAACCTAATTTTACATTAACCATATCTGTTTCTCTACAATTAGCACAAGACAATACGAACAACACAGTACACAGTACATTAAATTGCACATGTTGATGTAACATCGTTAATTGTAACTTTCGTAACGATTAAATTCATTTGAAATGAACAGAAATTACCAAAAATATCCTCCGTTTCCGTGATTCTTTCTAAATTAAACTATACGAACAGGTACATCTAGCACTACTTATTTAAGTACCTAGAGCAAACGGATGACAAGATTCATTTGGTGTTGATTCGAAACAGAGGTTTAATATATATATTGATATATTTGCTAAGATTAACATTTGAACAGACTTTTCGGATCGTTGAGGTCAAATGAATCCTTTAAATATAATTATTAGCCAGTACAACATTGACAAGAGTATCTAAATCAATGTCCGCGGGCACTCTAGTGATACTCCCCTTGGCAAAAGTTACCCTCTCTTTCCCCATAGCTACCTGGGTAGATAGTTTTACCTGTTTCTCGTATCGAGCACATAATACTACATAAAACTGCTCGCATAGTAGCTGCTACCTACTCGATTATTTATCCAATAAATACTATATTTTGAATCGGCTAACTTACTTTCCCCGCGCTAGTAACTCGGAAACAGCGCACCCGACTTGAGCTCTGCTCGAGAAGCCGCTCGAGACTGTATGCGAGCTGATAGAAACAACGATAGGTGAAAGTAGGTATAGAGAGGGTAACTTTCCGTGAGGGGAGTATCACTAGAGTTGGCACCCAGTTGGTTAGGTGTTGGTCTAGCTGACACTGAATACAACGAGTACTCGGGTGTAGGTACATACTTATGCGGCGATTACGATACACCTGATAAAAGCTCGGTTGCTAAACATTACTAGGAAATATTTCGAGTTCAGTTCAATCGGAAAGACTGTTAGACGGTGAAACGTTATTTCTTAGTTTTAAAGAGTAATTACTCGCTTTGAAACAATTTGTAGAACTTTCCGAAGAATTCTGTTCCGAACTTGAATGGATTTGAATGAGGAAAAACTCGTGGTCCGGTTCGCGAACAGATCGAGTAGACGCTTAGAAATGTAAACAGTTGATATCCAGTAAAGTAAATAGGTCTATTCCTTTGTCCTCTTGTTGTCTTTTCTTTGTTGAAACGAGTAATACGGGAAATTAGTGATAAAACACATTGAGCTTTTAACGAGACTTCCCGCTATACGCATTTCACGATGAAACCGATGAATGAAATAACTCGAGTAGATTTGATACAATTACGTTTTATAGAATTTCATTGTCGTTAAATAATTGTAATAAAGCAATTTCGAGTAATCGCTATGAATGTAGTTACTTTTTTTATTTCCTAAGAGTAATTTACCGGAATGACGTCACCGTGCTCCGAAGTAAGGAATCGTCTACTTTTATACTCCATATAGCTTTCTCTTCCGGTGAGCAGATAGAGAGTACTTCACTTCTGTCGGCTTCTATCATACATATACTTTATCTTTACTTGAATTTCCGCGATGGCTGTTGGTGATCTTAAAACAGATAAAGGTGTCAAAGACTTAAATTCTTATTTAGCGGATCATAGTTATATCGAAGGGTGAGTTTGGTTTTATCATTGAAGAATTTTGATCGTAGTACACGTGTTCCACTTGTCGGCATATTACAAGAGTCGCATATCTTTCTTTTTCCCTTGCACAAGCATCTAAAAAAGAAAATTCTTGGCTAGAAATATCGCAGTGTCACTTAACATGTCCTGTTCTTAACGTTTTATGCTTAGTGCTTGTGATTATTTCTTTTATTAATAATTAATATTCATTTAGTTTCTGCGATTTTCAATAGTCTTTGAACTTCCCTTCAATGTACCAATTCATATGTGTATTAACACGTCTGCTTGATTGATATTATTGTACATACTTGCAATTAAGTATCATTCCTTTATTATTATTATTATTATTATTATTATTATTACTATTATTATTACTATTACTATTGTTGTTACCATCATCATCATCCTATTTGTAACATCTGTAACGTTTTTGACATTTCTTTAAAATGATATTATTAGTATTAAATGCACATTGAATAACGGAGATGTAATAGTTGTTTAATTATGCCGTCTACAGAATAAAATATTTTTAAGGTGGCAACCGACTCAAGCCGATGTGGCAGTGTTAGAAGCTCTAGGAAAGACTCCAACATCTTCAAATCCTCATGTTTTAAGATGGTACAACCACATCAAATCGTACGACTTAGAAACACTTCCCGGAGAAAAAAAAGCACCAGCTCTCTTAAATAGCGATAATGTCAATGAACCGGCAACAGTAAAAAATGAAGATGACGACGATAAAGATGTGGATCTGTTTGGTTCGGACGAAGAAGAAGACGCGGAAGCTGCGAGAATTAGAGAAGAAAGACTTAAAGCGTACGCGGAAAAAAAGTCTAAAAAACCAGCATTGATCGCTAAGTCTAGTCTGGTATTAGATGTAAAACCATGGGGAGACGATACAGATATGAAAGCCATGGAGGACGCCGTTAGATCCATTCAGATGGATGGATTAGTTTGGGGTGCTTGTAAGTCGATATTCCTTTCTGTTCCAGTTTAACTCTTTTTAATATCCGTTTATTTGTATATACTAATTTTATTTTTTCAGCTAAACTAGTCGCCGTGGGTTACGGTATTCATAAATTCAGAATAATGTGTGTCATCGAAGATGAGAAAGTATCCGTGGACTTATTGGTAGAACAAATCGAAAGTTTCGAGCAACTAGTTCAATCTGTCGACATCGAGTCATTCAATAAAATATAAATGACTGTTTGTGTCCGTTACTTTTAATATAAACTTAATAAATAATAACCATTGTTTGTATATATAATTTGTTATTGGATGATCCTAAATAATTACTAATGCAACTTCAATGGTAATATATTAACGAAGCTTTAAATGGAGTGTTTATTTGAATTCTATTACCTTTATATTGGCAATAGATCACAAATATATATATATATATTTCAGTTTTATATATTATATTTCGTTTATGTTTCGAAATCGAATAATGTAGCGTATCGATATCAGTTTCTAACGATTATACACGTAATTGTTCAATGTTAGAGTGTGAGACAAATATGGACTGCTGTGGTGAGAATGAGAATTTTGTAATCTGTAGACGATCAAAGTCCTTGAACGAAAACTTAATCGTTGGGATAGAGACGAATAACGTCCATTTAGTGTAGGTATTATGCGTTCTGTGGTAAATTTTCAAGCAATAATTTACGCATAATTAATCCTTTATCGCAGTAGTATCTTGCGTTTGTTTGTAATTTTTTGTTCTCCCCTGTCCATCATAACTATTCGTATTATGATATTGAGAATCAATTGAAATGCTTATTACTCGTCTGCCAACATCGCTGTTACGATGTAAATTATCTAGGTAATTTTTTCGAACTTCTCCAATGATAATTTAGACAAAGAAAGTGACAAAGATAATTCTTTGTGTGTACTTCCATGTATACTGTACAGATACTTTTACGTTTTCTTAAAGTCGATAGATTATACAATTATGCATAGTATATGCGTAGCGTGTATTAATTAAATTTGTTTATTTAACAATCAATAGCAATATTAGCCCATTGAATTACCCGATTGAAATATCGTTTCTTAATCGCAGTAATAATCGGTAGCGGTAGACCTTGAAGCTACAATAAGTATATATCTCGAATCGTAAAGTATTCGAGCGTAGGCGTGTTTCAACCGAAGAGAAATTATTAGTTAGCGATACTTTATCGTGATTTTAATTATTTTAGCGTTGTAGGTAAAAATCGGAGATTTAGTAGATCCAAGTGAGTGAGTAGGCACACAAGTACTTCCATATCAGCTGTGCCTCGCGCCTCACGCGTATGTGTCATTAGATACTTTGCGACAAAAGTCCATTTGTACCATACCGGTGAATACGAATAAGGTGTTTGCAGGTGAAATATAATGAAAATGGGGAATTTCTTGTTCCGATCTGAAAGCCATTAATCCCCTCGACTTCGCTACCTTGTTTAAAGTTAAAATCCGGTTTCGGCATGGGTTCTCCGTTCTTACTCATATTCCATTCGGTTCAGAGGGAACATTATGTTTCCATTAAATCGCAGAAAAGTATATCTGCTTCGCGTTCTATAAGAGAATAAACACCCCTCGAATGCGCAATGTTTTCTATGAATTTTCATAAATTTCCATGAATCCCTCGTCAATCGAACGCGTGTCAAGTTCGATATCGTTTGCGAACAACTGTACGAATGCAATGTCGAGAACAGTGCAAATGGTAAAAATTCAACAGAAAAATCAGATTTACGTATAGATCGATCTCGTTAGAAATTGAAAAAAGCAACAGGCTCGAACTCGCATCGGTTCTTCGTATAATACGCGTCGAATTGTTTGCGTAGACGAATCGAATTGAAACGAGCAAGCGAGAAGATTCGTAATGCGTCTTGCGGATGAAACCTCGAATAGATTTGTTTCATTGAATGTCGATGTTCGCGTGAAACTAGACAGATACGAGTTTTATTTGTAGTTTTCTTTTTGAACGTTAATGGTGCGCGGCAACTCGAATTCCAGAAGGTACGGATCTTCTTTCTTAAGGAATCGGAGACCTTGCCACTGACCTTTGTCGAACTCCCCACTTTCGCAGCCGCTAACATACGTTCACCGCCCACTTACCACGTCCGTTACAACTGTTTTCTATATAAAAGAACGAGATGACGGAATATAGCGCGAGTATCGTTTTAGCAGGGGAATCCCGAAAAATACGTGTCAACGATACTTCCAAAGTCAAGTCCTAACAAAGAGCAAGTGCGCGGATCAATTGGAAAAATGATTCTTTCGCCGAGCGTGTCGATCGTAACGTACTTATTGCCCTTATTGCTATTTTATGGTGAGTGAATAACAATTGTTTTCAATATTAACGTTAACACGAGAAACAAACGAGTACTCGATAAACTTGGTAATGACTGTAAACGTTCAATTGTTCCATTTTTTATATTGTTTATATTTCTAAAGATTACAGTTAAAGATACTTCGAACGCTATAAAATAAGAGGAAACGAGCGTTCAAGATTCTATTCTCTGTAAATTCGATTCTTTCGAAAAAGGAGGTACGGTCGCAACGATTCCACCGACACGTTGATCGTTGCGCCGATAATTCTCTTTTCTTTCTATCTTATCGAAAGAAGGGGATATTTTGCTAAAAAAAATAACCAAAGTTCAAATGTTTCATAATAAGAGTATAAAGAATTTGAAAAGAACCGATTAATACATCACTATTCTCGACTTTCCTCTTGTTTTCGCATAGTCTGATTTTTCAAAGACGCCTAATGAACTACTAGAAAATAATAGTTTACCGTTTATAAGTTCTTGTTTTCATATGCTTTTGGTATTGTCCGATAAAGAAAAGTATTGTAAATGTGGTATTGATCGGTAGGGCAACAAGCTTCCGTGACGGAAAGCGTAACAATATCGAAGACTTGCTTCGGATGTATATGCGAGGCTGCCTCGGGTTGTAACGTTACAATTGGCTGCGAAGGGTCCGTGTGCGGACCGTTCCGCATAACATGGAACTATTGGGCTGATGCGGGTAAACCGAAACTCAAAGGGTCCTCCGACGAAGACGGTTAGTAGAAAAGTATTTATATTGCAACTACAATTAGTATTCGTATTATATTTACATTTGTACAATATCGTTAGCATTTACTGTACGCGATCGACAGTTTCATAGAACATTTCTTTTCATCTAGCATACCAGAAATGCGTCAACGATCCATTCTGCGGAGCTGACACCGTACAAGGCTACATGGATAAATTTGCTCAAGTAATTTTTCCGAAAGAAATGCATTTTTATTTCTCTCTCTCTCTCTCTCTCTCTCTCTCTCTCTCTCTCTCTCTCTCT